CGTACTCGTACCTGCGCCAGCCCTTGCAGCAGACCTCGATCACATTGAAGTACGGATTTGTGCTGCTATTGCCCACGATTTTGAGCTCCTTGTCGTATTGAAAGAAAACCGCGCTGCAGGAAAAACACAATAATTTGATACAAAATTAACAAAATATAAATAATGCAAAACAATTTAACCCGGTAATCATAATTATAATTTGGGTAACGAGCGCAGGTATCCCAAATGTACCACAAATATTAAGTGTTTTGCTTTTATTGTGCTTAAGATGGACTCCTTCTGACAGACATGGTTGTACCAAACACAATATAAACACTAAGATGAGTAACGCCATACAACAAGCCGCGACTTCGGCATTCGTTCGTCAGGTCCAGTCGGCAGGCATGCCGTACGAAGCCTTAAAGGCCAGATGAAAGGCCAGGCTAGAAATTTTGCGTCGCATTCAAATGTATGGGCGTTACTCATTTTAGTGTTTATATTTTCTTTGGTTGTACCCAGGAAGTTATACTATATGGTGTGGAAGTTATACTGTATATAAAGTGCGTAAAAACTCAATTTTGAAGGTATAAATGGGTCATTAAAATATTTTTTTTTTTGGCTAAATAATTAAATATACTCCAGACAGAAAAACATTTAAATATGCGAGGGATCAGTGTACTTTCTGTCTGCTAAGCCACGCTTGACTTATTGAAAAATGATGTTTTAAATTTAATTAAAAAAATTGTTTTTTAAATATAATTAGATTTCTAGATTTTTTCTAAATATTCGAAACAAAAGTTGATTATTTTGTGCAATACTTTGAAGTATTTACATAACATATATTTTTTCAATTTTAAATTATTTATGATTCCATTGAAATATCGCCCAAAATTGTTTTCACAAAAATTTTCAGATAGTAATAATTAATGAAAGCTTTGTTTGGGACATATAAATTTTCCATTAACACTTAACTCTAATCTCTAAGTGTACTTACGGCACTTCCCGGTAGCATTTATCCGGGTAGACGCCTCGCTGGGGCAGTGACAGGCCTTGGGGTATTATATAGGGCTTACGTGTGGATGTCGTCGAGGAATAGCGTCGCTGCTGGAGCTGCTGCTCGCGCTGCTGCTGCAGCATCTGCTGTTGCTGGTGCAGGCGCAGCTGCTCGTCCAGCAGCTGTTGCTGCAGCTGCTGTTCGTGCAACTGCAGCTCCAGGGCGTGCATCAGGCACAGGTAGATCAGCAGTAGACCGGCCTGCAGGGCCACAGCGCGCAACAGCCTGGCCATATTCAAGCAGTTGGAAGCAACTGATTCGTTTCCTGTTTGACTCGATGCCAAACCAGTACCTCGCCTGTGGCACTGCAGCGTTCAACTCTCAGTTGTTTACTGTGTGGCAGCAGCCGCAGTCACAGCCGCAGCCGGAGCAACCGCGGCAGCAGTTGGAGAAACGGGTCAGCGCTTAATCGCAGCTGCGAGGGAAGCCGCGATAAGCGGACGGGCTTTCAATTAAAAATATTAGCAAGAGACGGCGAACCACTAGATTTATTAAGAGTACTTGACAGATCTGTAAAGCAAGACAAACCAAGAGAGAGAAAGAGTGAGAGAGGCATATAAACATATAAATATCGCAAGCTGTTGCGTTACGTATACGTAGCAGTAATAATATTTTGTTGTAAGCGTACAAATTTGTAAAAAAAAACGAATAAGTAAACATTCATTAACATTCATTAATAAATAAACAAATTTAAAATGTATGCTATTTTAACTATTATTAATAAATATTGTGTGTATAAAGGCACTTTAAAATAGAAAAAAAATGGGGAATAAATAAAATGTATTATGTTGTGTGCCCTACAATTATTTAAAGATTTTTAAATTAAAAAAAGAATGCAATTATTTTTAATTAAAGAATTAATTTAATTTAATTATTAAATAAAATGTTGTATGCTGTTTTTCGACTATTATTAACAAATTGTGAGTATGAATACATTTTAAAATAATTTAAAAAAAAAAATACAATTACTAAAGAATTTTTAAATTGAAATTGAAGCTTACAAGAAATGAATTTAAAATGTGTTCTTTTGGAAAATTCAAATAGATAAACATATATAGTTTGGCGGGAAGCAGCCTAATGGACCCACAATTCTCGTGGAGCCAGCTTAGTTGGGAGACTTGAAATGCCAATGAGAACATGCCCGAAATGCTGAGTCTAAAAAGCAAAACAACTGATAAGCGGTCCACAGTAAATTACTGGGGCAGTGGAACGCGAGCGAAACTTGAGATCTCAGTTGGCATTTAGCAAGTGGTTTGCAAACAACGAAAACTCAATCGAAAATAAAAGTGGAGGACGTGGGCCAACAAAATGCGTACTCTCAGGCATGCCCAGGGTCTGATCCAGTTGTTGCTGCTGATGTGCCTGTCCAGGATTGGGGCACATGTGCCCAGCTACTCGGAATACGATGCGCCCACTCGCTATGACAACAGACGTGCGCAGCAGGAGGGGCGACGCTATGCAGGAGTTGGCCACAGGCAACAGACTGCCCCACAGACACTTTACCAGCGTCCGGGCGCCCTGAACTTTGACATGGTGGACCAAACGGTAGCCCAGCAGCCGCGCAGGCGTGAGTATTTGCTGCGTGCCCATGAGGGCGTTTCGAGTCGTGAGCAGCACAAATGTCGCATTTGGGTACCGTAAGTAGCCGCAGATTATTTAACCTTTTTAGATGAACAGTGAAAGCTCTCTAGAGCGAACAGCCACAATTTCAAGTGACTGTCCGCCCAAGAGGCATTTTCTGTTAGTGGAACGTATTTATAACAGAACTGTTTGCCCTGCGTCTAGTGCTGAAACTGTGTCCAAATATCCGTTGGCCAATCTCATCCAGACAGACATGGCCAACAAGCTGTCCTCGATCGAGGTCTGCTGCACCGGCTACACGCCCACTCGCCTGAAGGGCGTCACCGTCTGCCGGCCCATTTGCAGCTGCCAAAACGGTGGATGCCGTGTGCCCGGCGAGTGCGATTGCTACGAGGGCTTTGTGCGCAATGATAATGGGGACTGCGTCTTCGCGTGTCCCATTGGCTGCCAGAATGGACGCTGCTATCTGGATGGTAGCTGCCAGTGCGACATGGGCTACATGCTGGACGAGAGCCGTCGCTTCTGCCGGCCCATCTGCAGCACCGGCTGTGGCAATAACCAGCGTCACAATTGCACCGAGCCGGAAGTCTGCAGCTGCGCCAAGGGCTATCAGTTGACCAATGAGGGCTGCCAGCCCGTTTGTGACCCGGACTGCGGCATCGGTGGAATCTGCAGGGACAACAATCAGTGCGACTGCGGTCCTGGCTACACGCTAAAGGATGGCGTCTGCCAGAGCGATTGCTATCAGTAAGTATGTGTATACTGTCAATAGCAGATACCATGAACCCAAGCTTAATTCCACACATTCATATGCACCTTGGCGCAGCGGATCTGCTTCTTCTTTTATTAATCCCTGACTAAATAAGGGCAATTCATTCTTGATTAACTTCATTATACCCTGAACCTATTTAAAATGGGTATAAGAGTATATTGTATTTGTGCAAAATCCAAATGTATGTAACAGGCAGAAGGAAGCATCTCCGACCCCATAAAGTATATATATTCTTGATCAGCATCAATAGCCGAGTCGATCTAGCCATGTCCGTCTGTCTGTCTGTCCGTATGTATGAGCCCAAGGATCTCAGAACCAATAAGAGCTAGAGACTTGAAATTTTTAGATGTAGGTGCTCCTAGTTTTGGGAAATTTTGGTAAATAATAAGAGCTAGAGTCACCAAACTTGACATATAGCTTCTAAAATGGAATATGCATTTGATGTTGAAAGAAGCGGGTTCAGGGTACTCTTACTTGTTATTATTGCAAAGTGCATGCAAAATTTCTTATATACCAAATCGTAGGGCTCTACCTTTCAACATGGGTTTTTTCTATGCATATATATAAATTTCAAATATGAAGTCTTTTTGTAGTTTCCGCAATCGAAGCGTTTCCACAGATGGCAGACGAACAAAGGGACAGGCAGCCCAAATCATCTCAGCTGGTTGCCTAGCCAAAAAAAAAAAGACAAAAACAAAAACTGCTGCCTTGAATTTTGGTTAGCTACTCTTAGCAGATTTTCCACATGCAGCAAGCTTAGACTTTGGTTAGAATCTTAAAACGGTTTTAAAACAAAAATAAATAAATAAAACAAGTAAGAGGTTCTAGTCGGGAGCTCCCGACTAGGGGATACCCTGAACCCTCTTCTTCCAACATCAAATGCATATATATATTTTATTTTAGAAGCTTATGTCAAGTTTGGTGACTCTAGCTCTTATTATTTACCAAAATTTCCCAAAATACAGAATATCGAAATCGATTTTTATCGATTGCTAGGAAACGGAGTAAGTTATCAATTATCGGAAATAAACTCGATCTGCGCGGGAACTAGGAGCACCTACATCTAAAATTTCAAGTCTCTAGCTCTTATTGGTTCTGAAATCCTTGCGTTCATACATGGCTAGATCGACTCGGCTATAGATGCTGATCAAGAATATATATACTTTATGGGGTCGGAGATGCTTCCTTCTGCCTGTTACATACATTTGGATTTCGCACAAATACAATATACCCTTATACCCATTTTTAATGGTTTCAGGGTATAAAAATATGCAACACAAAAATATACTACATCCTTTGGTTAGATAGAAATTAATTTAAGTTTTGATCTGGGCTTAAACTTAGTTTATATAAAATATATAATAGACTGGAAATATCAAGGTTGAGTTAAATGTATAATGTATTTATAACTCAAAAATCTTACTTGACTTTTATATTCCACGTATATTCCACAGAAAATGTTACAATGGGATTTGTGTGAGTCGCAACCGTTGCATCTGTGATCCCGGCTTTACGTACCACGAACAGTCCACGATTTGTGTGCCCGTCTGAGTGTCAACTTGAAGAAGCTTATTGCTTTATTATAATTGTTATTATAAATAAAATACACTTTTATTAAATTTAACAAATACTGAAGAAATTTATATTAATCCACCTGAGGCGACACAGATCCTCCATAATAGTTTAAAGATAACAATATTTATAATAATGACAAAAATATTAAAATTGTATTAAGTTTCATGGACATAGTTGACAATGCTGAGTCCATCGACTTGCTGAGCAAGCGCCTTCTGGCGTCTGTGAGTCAAGTAGACGAGGCTGGCCACAATCACGACCAGCAAGAGGATGCAGCTGCCCAGACACCAGGCCAGGATCGATGGCCATTTGACTGCACTGCTTTTAATCTGGTCAACGTTGTGTGCCGCCTCGCCAGCGCTCAGGTTCCTGGCCCTGGGTGCGTCCACGTGACAGACCATGCGCTGCTCCAGCTGCCCATTCGCAGCCGGGCAGAGCAGCTGACCAGTTGACTCCACACACCGACACTGGCCAAGTTCCAGGCAGGGCTGGTCATAGGCATCCCTGCAGATGTTGGCGCACTTGATCGTAGTCTGCGCCACATCAATCAATAGGTGCCAGCAGCGGCAGCCGCTGCTGCAATTTGTCCAGGGCTGCTGCAGCAGCTGCTCTGGTTGATGGTCAGTGGTGGCCAATGTCGTTGTCATCCAATCGGTGGTCGTTTCTAGCTGCAGCTGGCAGCCACCTGCAGTGCTCTCGTAGCCAGGATGGCACTGGCACAGCTCAGGCGCCACGCAGTCACCATTGGAGCAGCCGTGACTGCAGTTGGGCTTGCAGATATTGGGGTTGGCTTCGTCTGCGGGCACATAGCCTGCATTGCAGCTGCACTCATCAGGCGCCAGACAAGTGGCATTCACACAGTTCGTCGAGCAGCTCGGCTTGCACACGTGCTCCAAGCCTGAGCCCAATGGACCCATCGGCTCATGTCCCAAATGGCAGATGCATAGCTGGGGCGCCATGCACGTGCCCAGCTGGCAGGCCGGCTCACAGATCGGCTCGCAGATATGCCGCGAATCTGAAGCGAACCGATGTCCAGGCTCGCATTCACACATATCGGGTGCGATGCAGCTGCCATGTACACAGCTCTGGCTGCATTGCGGCTCGCAGTTGTTGTTGGGACCCATTAGGTAGCCAGGGTTGCACGCACAGACCTCGGGCGCAAAGCAAGAGCCATTTGGACAGCCCTGACTGCATGTGGGTTGACACTTTTGCCCAGCCTGCGACAGCTCATAGCCGGGATAGCATTCACACACATCGGGTGCCACACATCTCGCATAGTCAAAGCAACCCTTTGGGCAATGGGGTTCACACAGATTTTCCTTGTTTTGGACATAGCCAGGGCTGCATGCACACAGCTCTGGTGCCACGCAGCTGCTGTGTTCCGGACATTCTTGACTGCAGACGGGCTCACAGCTACCTTTTACGGAACTCGTGTATCCCTCATCGCACAGACATTCTCCTGGTCTGCCGCAGCTGCTGTGCTCCGGACATCCTTGACTGCATATGGGCTGGCAGTTACCTTCATCGGAGCTCGTGTAGCCCTCATCACATTGGCATTCTCCTGGCTTGACACAACTGCTGTTTCGCCCACAGCCCGCATCACAGATGGGCAGGCATGTTCCATTCTCTTGCATGTAGCCCTCGTAGCACTCACAGACATTGGGCTCCATGCAGTAGCTGTTGGTGCCGCAGCTGGGCACGCACACAGGCAGACAGGTTGCTTCGGGTACGGATCTCTCATAGCCCAGCTGACACTCACAGGTATCTGGTGCCGCACAGAAGCTGTGATCTCCACATGACTGAACGCACTGCGGCAGACAATCGTATGATTGGTCGGTCCGCCTGAAGCCCGCGTTGCATTCACACACGCCCGGCGACTGACAGTAGCTGTGTTTGCCACAGCTGTGGCAAGTGGGACTGCAATCTGCACCAGAATATCCATAATTGCAGCTACATTGATCCGGCGCGCTGCAGTAACCATTGCTGGGACAACCTGCACTACAAATGGGCTTGCAATTGAAAGCTGAGCCTTCGTAGCCAAGACAGCAAGAAGAGGCCGGCGCAGAGCGGGAGGGAGGCGGCGGCAGAAGAAGGAAGGGGAGAGAGGGAGGGAGAGAGGGGAAGGAGAGGAGGAGAAGGAGAAGGAGAAGAAGAAGAAGAAGAAGAAGAAGAAGAAGAAGAAGAGAGAAGAAGAGGAAGGAGAAGAAGAGGGAGGAGAAGGCAAAGAGGGAAAAAGAAGAACAAAAGCAAGAAGAAGAGGAAGGCGAAGAAGAGGCAGAAGCAGAAGGAGAAGCAGAAGCGGAAGCAGAAGCAGAAGCAGAAGCAGAAGCAGAAGCAGAAGCAGAAGCAGAAGCAGAAGCAGAAGCAAACAGAAGCAGAAGCAGAAGCAGAAGCAGAAGCAGAAGCAGAAGCAGAAAGCAGAAGCAGAAGCAGAAGCAGAAGCAGCAGAAGCAGAAGCAGAAGCAGAAGCAGAAGCAGAAGCAGAAGCAGAAGCAGAAGCAGAAGCAGAAGCAGAAGCAGCAGAAGCAGAAGCAGAAGCAGAAGCAGAAGCAGAAGCAGAAGCAGCAGAAGCAGAAGCAGAAGCAGAAGCAGAAGCAGAAGCAGAAGCAGAAGCAGCAGAAGCAGAAGCAGAAGCAGAAGCAGAAGCAGAAGCAGAAGCAAAGCAGAAGCAGAAGCAGAAGCAGAAGCAGAAGCAGAAGCAGAAGCAGAAGCAGAAGCAGAAGCAGAAGCAGAAGCAGAAGCAGAAGCAGAAGCAGAAGCAGAAGCAGAAGCAGAAGCAGAAGCAGAAGAAGCAGAAGCAGAAGCAAGCAGAAGCATAATCATAATCATAATCAGTAATCATAATCATAATAATAATAATAATCATAATCATAATCATAATCATAATCATAATCATAATCATAATCATAATCATAATCATAATCATAATCATAATCATAATCATAATCATAATCATAATCATAATCATAATCATAATCATAATCATAATCATAATCATAATCATAATCATAATCATAATCATAATCATAATCATAATCATAATCATAATCATAATCATAATCATAATCATAATCATAATCATAATCATAATCATAATCATAATCATAATCATAATCATAATCATAATCATAATCATAATCATAATCATAATCATAATCATAATCATAATCATAATCATAATCATAATCATGATCATATTTATTTTAATAATAATAAATTTAATAATAACTTAAATTTTTAAGATATAAAATAAAATAAAATAAAATATTACCAATATTATTGGTAATAATAACCATATTAATAATAATAATCATAACAACAATAATAAGAATAATAATAATAATATTAATAATAATAATAACAATTATAATATTAATAATAATAATAATAATAATAATAATAATAATGATGATTATAATAATAATAAAACAACAATAAAATAATTATTAATATTATAGTGAGATAAAACAGCAAGAATTTTGTTCTCGACTCAAGTATGAAAGTTTTAATACTGTGGGCGAAATTCCTTAGTCTGATAAAAATAATCATGTTTCAGTATATCTTTGTAGTTCCATATTTTATTTAGGAACTTTATTCATAATAATTTAAAGAGAAATAGAATTTTATTTACGAAATTATCTCACTTATTTACACAAATTTTCATAGAAAATGGAAATATTCTTGTCTTTGGATTTGTTTGTAAATCAAATATATTTCATATTAAATTTAAGAATATTAAATAATAATAATTAAATGAATGATCACCAGAATTTTACAAAACTTGGCCTCTATGTTATAACAAAAGAGTTTTAAATATCAAGCAGACAGAAATATTCCAGAGTCATGTAGTTGTTAAACAACAAAAGTTTATATATAATAAACAATTAGCATTACAATTTGTTTGTCTAACCTCGGGAAAATAGCGCAAATCAGTTCGTTTTTTTAATTTTCCCAAAACCCACGTCTTGTACGTAATTGTCACGGTTTTTGGCACCATTTCAGAGTAAGATATCTTCTTCAAACGAGTGCACATCTTTGTTGAACATAAACCAACAAGGACAAACAACAAACATGCTCTAAAATATAGAAACTGCATTGTTTAAATTATTCAAGTACCTATCACGAGCACAATTCAAGCACAACTACTCGAAGTCTGAGAGTCGGACGGCCACAAAATCTACAGTTTTGCAAATACATCCGTTTATTTTGATAGCTGCTTAAAATAGTGTGTATAGAGTGTATATTAGTTATATTCACACGTTCGTCTGTTTTTAGTATTTTGTAAACATGAACAGAAAACGAAGAAAAACTAACGTTGTTAAATATTGCAAATGTTTTTCACTGCGTTTCCGTTTAAATTTATGTACCTAAAAGCTGGCGTTAGGGTATCCAAAAGTCAGCATTTCCATGGCTCTATATATTTGTCTTGCTAGCAAGGCCTAATCTCAAGCTCGCCTTTAGGAGTATGAGTCAATTATTATTTTTTGATTCATATTTAATTTATATGATTTATATTATTTTCGGATTTTTGTATTTCGTATTATTAGAATAATCTTAATCAAAATAATAATTGCAGCATTATAATAATTAAATTAATGTTATGGTTCCTCTGACTTAAGCAACATAAGTTTGATCTGACTTTTGGGCAACTGATTACCAGTTCGGTTGATGGTTAAAATCAAAATAGTAATTTCCATTACCCTTTATAGTTACAAAATAATAAAAATATAATAATAATAATATCCTAAAAATGCGCTTAATTTACCTAGAGCTTGTCTCATCGGTATTAATATTTGCTAAATAAACATCATCTTGGAATCATACCTCTGGTTGCAATAGGTATTCAGTTCGGTGATTCCTTCTTCTTCCTATACCATGTCGGGTAATGAATGCTCGAAACTTTTTTCTCCTCATACACACTCTTGATCCATATACCGCTGTACTTGTAACATGATATAAAATCAACAACAAACCTATAAAAAAATGGTAAAAACTTTACATCACTTAACAATTATCAAAATTAAAACTTGATTCAGATCAGAAGCGCGTTTTAAACTTAATGAGACTCGGATCTGTTTTGGAACTTGACTAATGCTCTATGCTAATACTGACATACGTTAAAATTTCTTAATTCTTTATAAAATCAAATATTGCAACTGAAAAACATTGCGTAAGCTATGCTGATTCGATAAGAGAAAATGACATTAAAAATGTAGAAGCAACATTTGCGGATCATATTTTGAAAAAAATTTTATTGCAATACTTACCAGTAGGAGACAAACAGCGAAGAGAACAAGCGAGAGAGAAAGAGAGAGTGAGATAGATAGATAGAGAGAGAGAGATAGATAGAGAAAGAGAGATAGAGAGAAAAAAAGAGAGAGTTACATATACTAAACATGCTTCATATATCAAATTCCGTATATGTTATCAACTGTAGTACTGAAGACCTTGGAATACATTAGAACTTTATCAAATTGAAACCACACAAGAAAGCAAGTAAGAGATTCTAGTCGGGAGCTCCCGACTAGGGGATACCCTGAACCCTCTTCTTCTAACATCAAATGCATATATATATTCTATTTCAGAAGCTTTATGTCAAGTTTGGTAACTCTAGGTCTTATTATTTACCCAATTTGCTTTAATAACAGGATGTCGATATTTTATTTTTGCCTGCTTTTTACCGATTGTTTGGAAACGGAGTGAGTTATCGATTATCGGGAACAAACTCGATCTGCGCAGGCACTAGGGGGACCTACATCTAAAATTTCAAGTCTCTAGCTGTTATAGGTTCTGAGATCCTTAGGTTCATACATACGGTCAGACGGACGGACGGACAGACGGACATGGCTAGATCGCGAAAAAGTTATAATGAAACTTTTTTGTTTACCATCAATTTCAAAGTTCATTGCTTAAATTAATTTGAGGGATGTTTCGCACTTACTGGAAAATCTAACACTTCTTGGTGGAAATGGGTGATGGGTGACGTTTCGCGCTTAAGCTCATTTTCAAGGACCCAAAAGAAGAATCATTTGAGACCTGTTTTACATTTTTCGCTGAATCAAAGCATCATAGGTAAAAAGTGCAATTCGAAGTTTTTTTTTGGTGACGTTTTCATTTTTTCCGATTTGCTTCAAAATTATTTTCAAAGCTGTAAATATTGAATTCGTGTTCTAACGATTTGGGGAATTCCACCCGCAACAGTGGTAAATTAGAAGAATACGTTTGTATGAAGGCTGTTTATTTACCCTCCGATCACAAATCCTTTTCAAAGCTTTTTGAGATATAATATAAAGATGTAAAATAAATTCTATATTTTATATATAAACATTAATATAAAAAAATATTTTTAGTAATGTTTACTATTGGTTAGATTTTGAGCTATTGTGTAGAATTTATGCAATTTTTGTAATCTTAATAAAAAGCACTTTCAATCATTCAATCATTCATGTCATATGCACCCCTTAGCCAATTGGATGGTCAGTCGAACAGATACTCACTCAGTTAGTTAACCATTCATTCATACATTCGGTTAAGTTAGTAAGTGAGTGAACTTGTCAGTCAATCTATAGGTTATTCAGACAGTTAGTCAATCAGCCGTTGGATAAGCATTTTGTCAATCAGTTAATAAGTCCTCCTCTCAGCCAATTAGACATTGAGTCAGGAGATCGAAAAATCAGTCATTATATCAGTCAGTCAGTCGGTAAGTTGATCAGTTTGTCAGTTAGTCAGTCGGTAAGTCAATCAATCAGTCAGTCTGTTAATAAGTTTTCAAGTCGGTCATTCGATCAATTAGATAATCCATCTTCCAGCCAGTTAGTCAATCAGATGGTCGATAAATCAGTCGTTCAATAAGGCAGTCGCCCAGGGCGTCATTATTTAATCACTCAGAGCAAATAATGTTTAATAAAGTTTAGAATCGGATACATTTTAAGTAAAACGTAGAGAGCAGTTTTTTAAGTAATACTTAACATCTTTATTATCCTATCATTATACCGAATGCCCCTCTATACTTTCGGTTGGAAATAAAATATGTTAGATTATTTAAAATGCTCACTAAATTTAGAAT